CATCTCTCTTGCTCATCACAGCTTCGGCATACTTCACGTCCTATGTCCTTTTTCTTTTTCTCTTCCCCCCATTTACGTTACAATTCCATAGGCTTTTTTTCCCTCTGAGTCTCTATGAACTCAGACTATTTCAGATGTAAAACTTTGCATGCAGGATTCAAAAGCTTTTATTACAAAGCCAGCCTTTGCAGAGGTTACTTCCCAGGGACCTTGCTCCTCCACTCAGTGGTTGGTGTAATGCTGCCATCTGGTGATTGTTCACACAAAGTGCCCGAGGCATCTGCCTCCTCCCAGGCAGAAATGTTCTCAAAAGAAAGTAGAATAGTCCTGTCCCAGGCAGGGTCCTCCCAATTGGGAGGGTAAAATCTAACTCCATGAAGATAGCTGTGTGCTGAAAATGGTAATTTCTAATGAATATGAACATTAATCATGATAATCAATAATGATGCTTAATACTATTAAAAGTGATTGAGTTACAGATAATATTAATAATGATGTTCTGCAGCAAAAATAAAATATATAAATATGTAATCTTTAACATGTGCATGAAGTCTTCATATCTGTGTTATTAGATCTTATCTGTATCACAGCCCCACATTCTTTTCCCCATAAGGACACAGACTCAGAGAGGGTAAGTGACATGCCCAAGATCACACAGCTCATAAGCAGGCAAGTCAAAATCTGACTCAGGAGATCTGGTTCCAAATTTTCTAGATGACAGTTAAAGAGCCTACCTGGATTTCAGCAGCATACATTGTAGAGAAGTGAGACCCCTTGAGCTATGGGATAGGCAAGGTAGGGGAACCAGCAGTCTAAAGGGGCGTGACAAAATGGGGCTGGGGTTGTTGGTGATGAAGAGTTCCATTTGTCTAACTGGTTTGGAACAGAGCCAGTCAGTAATGAAAGGTTTGGATAATAAGATCTAGCTAGAGGGAAAGGATTGGTGGGGGCAAGGTGGGAAGTCAAGGCCCCAATCTAGCGGATTTAGGAAGCGCCGTGGCTTCGTGGGCATTTTAAGCACCTAGGGAAAATTCCACTGGGGGTGAGGGGACTTCTCAAGTTCTTCCAGTCTTGGCCTAGCCAGCTTCAGGAATGGGGGGGGCTTGGCCTGGGCATGCTGGCACCACTCCATTTCTCTTGCCAGATGCCATATTGCTTTCCCCATAGTCAAGACGTCCCTCGCATTACTTATTAGGTATAAGGGTATGGGAGTGAGAAATGACGCTCATCTGTATCTGCATGTTTGTTGAATACTTCATCATAACCAGTCTGGGCTAGGTGACTTGTCATCCTTTGTCTCATTTGATTTCTACAGCCCTAAGGGAATATTTAGAATTTGGAAATCCAACATCTGTATATTTGTAGTCTAGTTGCTGAAATGTGCATCAGAAGGAGGAAAGATTTTTTGCCTCCTGAAGAAACTAAACTCTCTGTATATTGGCCCGTATTTTGCTTGGTGAATCTCTCAAAATGATTCAGATGCATGGACTTGACTTCTGAAAAAATACAAGATAAATAAGCCTCTACTCTTGAGAGAACTATGCCCGATTCCACCATTTGATCTCACCATCAAAGTGAAGTTTGCAAATTTGGGTGTTTCACAAATTCACTTAAATGTTTCAGATTTTTTTTGTTTGTTACTTTATGCTTTACACAAGTATAGTTAATAAAAGATAACAGTTATATCACAAATATACTTCTTTTAGAGTAAATTACTTTTTCTACCTTTTAGGAATCCTTTACGTTTGTGATTATTTTCATTTGGACCAGACTGATATGGACCAGCCAGCACACGGACAGATGATCTCTCACATATAATTTTGTTTTAGTGTTCTAACATATGATTTCATCTGAGCATTGTAAGAGGGGAAATAGCAACCATTGCATGTGATGCTTATATTCCAGAATAGTAATTGCTTAGAGATTATATGGAAAGTTGAGATAATAATGATGTACCAAGAGTCCTTTACAGTTTGTGATGCTAATCTTGCACCAAAACATATAGATAGAGAAAGAGGTTCTAAAGTCTGTCTCGTTCATCGTTCATCAAGGCTCAACTGCTCCTCTTGGTGAATATCTTTGGGTCCCCTAATGCTTATAGAGTAGGAGGTGGGGAGAGAGGAATGGAAGTCACCCCTGTCGCCCTGTTGTGCTCTCTCCTATCTGCATACTCTGCCTACTGTGGAGGGGCTCTGGGGGTTGAGCAGAAACAGGCTGTGGTGGGTCCTAAAGCACATAGGGGAGCTTAGAACAGGGGGTTTGTGCAGAAAATTATTGAAAATGAGTGGCACACTCTACAGGGTTATTTAGCAGAGGGGCTCCAGCCAAAGGGTCCAGGGCCCTTGCACAGTACCAAAAAAAAAAAAAAAAAAATCTGAAATTTCTGCATTGAGCTTTTGAAAGATTACTACCACAATCATCATTTATTTTGTACCCATAGTTCATAAAAGGAGGAAAACAGGTGATTTTTTTTCCTAACTTTAAAAGGATCTAAAGAGTGTTAACACTGGTTGAGTTAATTACAAGAGCAGTAAAGTCTTAAATATTACACAAATAATATTACTAGTGTAAATACTGCACAAATTAAATATTGCAGAGTAAGTTTCTTATAATAAATATATAAAAACTATACACTATTTGCTCTGACAAGTAAATAAATATTCATTACTCAGGTTAAAGACTCCATAAAAGTTACACATCATAGTTAAAGGAAAATCTTTCAGGCAGCACCTTCCGTACAAGCTACTCAATTTTAGAATAACAGGTGTTTATTTTGTAGACCCTTCTAGATCTTTGTTATAAACCCCACACTACATTCTTACCATTTTTCTTTAAATAGTCGATTCTCTTTTTTAAAAATTTAGATAATAAAAAAATGTCAATGCTTACCCACGTTTCTTTTAGTATCTGAAGATGTTACTCAGCTGTCTCTCACTTGGATTATTTCCAGTGAGAAACTTGCTGCCGTCCTTACGTTTGTTAACTCTATATGTCATGCACTGTCTTCTCTGGATGATTTTTATTATCTGTGCTGGACAATTTGATTTTGATGTACCTTCATATAGTTTTCTTCATGTTTCCTGTGCTTGGGCTTTGTTGGACTTCTTGAAACAAACTTTTCTTTGAAACATTTCTTCAAATGTTCTCCCTCTTCTTTGGGGGGATTCCAATTACCTGTACATTAGGCTACTTGTATTTGTCCCACAACTCACCGATGCTCTTTTCATTTTTTAAACTCTTTCTTTTTTGTCTTTGTGTTTCATTTGCGATACTTTCAGTGGCTATGTCTTCACTTTCACTAATCTTCTCTTTTGTGATCTCCAATATGCTGTTATTTCCACCTAGAATAAACTTTACCTGAGACACTGTAGTTTTCATCTCTAGAAGTTTAATTTGGGTCTCTTAAAAATATCTTTCATAAATCCACTTAATATATTTTATCCTTCTTTTAGCTTCTTGAACTAGCTTCTTGAAATATAGTCACATATGAGTCCATTTCTGTAACTTATAACAAAATACCTGAAACTGGGTGATTTATAAAGAAAACAAAACGTATTGCTTACAGTTTCAAAGGGTAGGAAGTCCAAAGCCCAGGGAACACATCTGGTGAGGATCTTGGTGGTGACAACAGTGACCATTTCTCACATGGCAGAAATGGCAGAGCAAAGAGAGGATTTCCCACCCTCAAACAGTTAACAATTGCAATCAAGTTGGGGGGGGCATTCAACCCAAGGCAAGCCATAAGTATTTTAATATCCTTGTCTAATAATTCTAACATCTGTGTCAGTTCTAGGTTGGTTTCAATTTATTGATTTTTCTTCTCATTATGGTTCACATTTTACTGCTTTTTTGGCATGGTTGATATCTCTTATTAGATGCCAAACAGTGTGAACTTTACTTTATGGTGCTAATACTACTATATTTCTATAAATATTCTTGAGCTTAGGTCTGGGACACAGTTGAGTTACTTGGAAACACTTTGATCCTTCCAGGTCTTGCTTTTAAGACTTGTTGGGTGGGACTAGAACAGTGTTCATTCTAGGGCTAATTATTCCCCACTGCGGAGTCAAGACCCTTCTGAGTACTCTACCCTCTAATGCCCTGTGAGTTACAAGTTTTTGCAGTGTGCCTGGTGGGAGCATGCACTATTCCAGGCCCTTGGCTGAATGTTGAACACTGTTTCCTTTAACCCTTTGAGACGGTCTTTCCCCAGTCTTTGGTGTTTTCTCACACATGCATGAGCTGATCAGAACTCAGCTGACTACTCAAGGGGAACTCTGTAGAGTTCTCTCGCTGTGCAGCTCTCTTCTCCCTCCTACTCTGCCTGCAAACTCAAGCTGGCTCAGCCTTTGCAGACTCTTAGCTCTGGTTCCTCAACTTAGGGAGTCTACCAGGCTCGGCCTGCGTTCCTCCTTCCTGTGCCATGGCCTGTACGCTCTCTCAAGGCAGTAAGCTCGGTAATCATTGGGCTCACTTCATTTGTACCATCTCTCAGGGATTGCTGTCTTTAAGTGCCTGATGTCCATTGTCTTGAAAACAATTTTTGATACATATGTTGTCCAGTTTTTAGTTGCTTCAGGAGGGAGGAAAAATATAGTCCGTACAGGTTACCAGAAGAAGGAGTCTCATTTAGGTCTATGATTGGAAAATATTTCCCATAGTTTATCCTTAATTATGTAGCAAGAAGCAACAGCTAGGTCAAAGACACTGTTCTCTCAAAATTTTGCTCAGAGTTTCTCAGTTTCTCTAGGATTCAGCTATTAAAAACTTATGTCCTCTGATTTTTAGCTTTTAATTTTGTTTGAGTCTAAGTTAAAGAATATGGGAGGGATATATAATTTTTAATTCTACAAAGTTAAGCCTCTTTCTCTTTACTTTGACCTCAGGGTGAGGTCATTGGGATTTGGGCTGGGTTGACCACCTCCGGGATTGTGAGTCTACTTGCTGTCTTGGCTCGGACACGTGGGCAGTTTAGACTGGCAGGGCCATCCTGCGGGGAGATGGTGCTGCTGCTCTTGTCAGTGGAGCCGTCCTTCAAGGTTGGCACTTGAACACCTAAGCAGCGGCTGGGAAATATTTTTCTCCTTTGAACCCTTCTTCAGCAATTAGTTGTTCAAGCAAAAGCAAATCCCCTGTTTCTCACGTACGTACCAGACACTCCAGCATTATACCCACCAAAAGTTAGCTTTGTCCCTTCAGCTCACTTCCCCAACCCACACCCAATCTTCCCTCTCAGGACGGACACAGCTCCCCCTCTGCTCCTCGTACTCTAAGGCAGTTACATTTCAAACCCTCTCCTCCCCAAAGATTTCCTATCCTAGCCTACACGGTGGTGTAGCTAAAAGTATTTCTCATTAAAGTAGAGGGGAAAAACTTCTCGCAATTTACTCTTTAACAGGGTGACCCTCTGGTAGACCCCTATTTCCCACATCCCCCAATAATGTAACATTTTATGTAAGAAGCTGCAGGTAGGTTTAGAATTTCAAGATGCTGGTATGTGCACGGTTGTGACCTGCCGACGCTTCACCTCGTTCTTTCTCTGCCCGTTCCAGCTCTCACGGTGGCAAGAGCAGCGGTCTACAAATGAGCGGGGACTATACAGACAGAGTCCAGCCGATGCTAGAAGGGGAGCTTATCCAAACCTTAGTAAAAAGAAAAAGAATACACACGCACACATAAATTTTGGTCTTTTATTGTTTTATTAGTGTGGTATTTAAGGCATATGCGTTTCCTTCTGGATTTCCTTCCCCTTAGTAAAGATTGATCTCATAACCATATTGTTTAGATTTAAAAGTTCTTAGTCTCTCTACTTGTGTTTCTTTTTCACTCCTCGGATCCCCCGGTCCATGCATACTGCACACAGTGGGTGTTACAGCGGCTCTACAGCATGCCAGGCACACGGTGGGTCCGGCTGCCGTCCTGAGGCCGCATGTTTCCATTTTGCTAACCTCAAGGCATCTCTCTTGACAGGGGCCAGGATGGACAGAGCCAACAGCTGCCAGTCTGACAGCAGCGGGTTCCTGGAGGAGCCGCCGGAAGCTCTGCCTGCCCAGGTAGGAGGGTCCTGCAGGCCCCCACAGCTGCTCCACACGCCTCCGTCAGCCCCACTGACACCCCGCACCCCACCTCATTTAGCCTGACTCAGAGGAGGGACGAGTATTAAGTGCTCGCCACAATCAGAAAGGCGGGAAGGACATGCCACATGCACCCAGGGGCAGGGGATGATGGAGCCACAGTAGAAAAAGTGCCAGTTTCCTTTGATTTTTCTAAACAAAGAAGCTGAGCTTCATAGAGAGGAGATCCTAGATAACTAGTGAACTGATGTAAAACCTAAATTTGTAACTCCTAAGTCAGTGGTAACTATAAGGAAAAATTCCTTAAACCTATTGCCTCCCCCACTTCCCAACCCATTTCCCTTGGTCCTCATTTCTCCTGCAGGTGCCTTCGTTGCTGTGCAGCCAGAGTCCCACCGAGAATGCAGGGGGGAGGCCGAGGGATGGGAGCCAGCGCCTGGGGTCATCCCACAGCAGTCTGCAGGCGTCTGGTGAGCCTGACTCCAGGAGCATGCTGAGCCTATCTTTTCCAAGACAAGACTGGAGAATCTTGGAAGAAAAGGCCTCAACCTCTGTGGTGGAGGAAGAGTCTCAGCTTGAGGCCACAGAGGGGCCACCACAGCTGTGGATCCCAGATAAGGTTCTTGCCAAAAGCAGCCCTGGGGGAGAACACCCAAGGAAAGATGGCCATCTGCCACAGCTGCCGCCAGTGCCCCACGCTGCCTGCGAGGTCACTGGAGCCACAGTCACTTCCAAATATGACTGCTCTCTGGTGTGTATGCTGACCCACATCACGGAAGTGAAGGACAGGTTTCTGAGGCCCGGGGAAGCTGGAGGAGTGCTTGTGCAAAGCCACCACTGTGAGTCTCAAAACTCACCTGGAAATGAGGATGCTCCAGACAAGTTCCTGCATGTGGACTCTGAGGCCCCACAGGGAGACGAAGGCAGCAAGCTCGGTCCTGATACCAACAACACCTTACTGACACAAGAGAGTCCACCACGGCCTGTCCCCAAACATGGCAAAGTCACATTCCATGCAGTTGACCTCATTCCAACATCTGAAAAGTCCATTCCCCACCTCAGTGAACTGCCTGCGGACACTCCCCAGATGGAGCCAAGGGGTGGCAGTTTGAGTCAAATGCCACCCAGGGCAGAGGCTGAGATGGAAAACCTTCCTCCAAATACCGACCCGGACGTTGGCAGCTCCAGGTCTGTGCCAACCCGGATGTCCTCCAAGGTGGTGTCAGCTGCTCAGAGTGCTGTGGCCTTGGGGACTGATTCTACAGGACCATCTTTAGAGTGCACTATGTGTGACTGTATTACCACAGCAGCACCAAGAGTGGGGACAAAAGCAAGACAGTTCAATGATGTTTCCATTCAGACTTATATAGGGGAGCCTAGGCCTTGGCGTAGCTGTTCAGCCCTAGGAAACAAGGCCTTGACCCACAGACCCCAGCCCCTCACTAAATCTGTCTCTTTAGACACAGGCTTCCCTAGTGTCTACCCAGCAGGCATCTGCCATGCCGCACCTGCACACTGCTGCATCTGCTGTCACCACCATCCCCACCACCACGGGGAGAGGCAGAGCCCCAGCCCTGTACCCTCAGTCTGGAGGCATTGCCCGTGCTTCCATCCTGGTCATCCAGAAGCCCAGTTCATGATGACTCTGAAGGTCCTTCAGGACACTACAGCAAGGGAACGATGTTGCGTAAGTGTTTACTTCTGCAAAGATGGGAAGGCAGATGAACCAGCCATAACTCCTCAGGAATAATGCTCAGCCTTCCTTTCGCATGTGAGACCTCCGGGTGTGTCTTTCTATTTTAAATCATGAGTAACATCTGCAGAGTGCTTCATCATTTCTGATATAGTATCACAAATTTCTTATTTGGTGCTTCCAATCAATCACCTTTTGAAGTAAGGAAGGCAAATTTCATTATTAGTCCCCATTTTACAGAAGAGACAACTAAGGCATGGAACAGTAAATATGTCTAAGGTTATAAACATCAGTGCATCTGAACCACATCTCCAGTTCAGTCTAGTTGAGAAGTTCTTTGTCTTAAATTCACTTAATAATTTTGCACAAGCCATTTAATCTCTCTGGGTTTGTTTTTTAAAATAGGGAGACCATTCATGCCACTGACATAGGATCGCTTTAGGATTAAATAAGAGAAACCTTGTACAGCACTCAGACACGCAGACACTCGGCTCAGTGTGTGCACATAGAAAGCTCTCGATAATGTTAATTGTGTGGGTGCCACTTTTATTATCAATTTCAGTTACACTTTATTATTGTGCAGGTCTTGAATCTAGAGCTTCTCATGCTAAATACAGGGACTTTGGGTCTACCGTTGACTAAGCTTGTTTAAAAGTAGACTTTAGGTTACTGAAGACTGAATGACCCTAACCTTCTTCAGCTCTTGATTAATCAACAAAGCAACAAATATTTAATGAGCCCCCACCTCAGCAGTTCTCAATGTGAGGAAAAATCTAAGCCTTCAAGGCTGGTCATTGATTGAAAAATTATGATTATCCCACGTGAAACTATATGTGCAGAGAGTTTAAAAATGGAAGGGGGCACAGATAACGTAGGATTGCAGCTATTCAAAGGAGAGAGAAGAGGAAGGATGCTTTACTGGGCACCTACAGTTTACTGCCTGCTGAGTTGCCTTTCCATTCTTTTGATTCCACAAATATTTAATGCTAACTGCATTACATTAGGTCATTTAAACTTTCAGTTCACCCATACCATAAATACTTATTGGGTCCCTAATATGTGCCGGGCCCTCTCTCTTTTATAGATGAGGAAACTAAAACTGGGAGAGTTTAAATAGTTTTCCCAATGCCTCCCAATTACTAACTGGTAAGTCCAAATTCACATTCAAATTTGGGTGGCACCAAATTCTCGGACAATACACTCCAGGCAAAGATGTGTCCAACTTTAAAATATCTAAATCTATGTAAGTGTAATATCAACATTAGAAAGTGGTTATTTGAAAGATAAAGCAAATTTCTACATGATCCTTCAACATATAGGAGTCTACATAAATGTAATATGAACAGTGATTACATGAAAGATAAAAAAAAAATACCACATCATTTTTTCAATTTGCAATACTCCCAAGGCATTTGGAATATTTTAAGATGAGTCATTAATGAAGGTGGTAAGAGAAGGCTTTATTTAGGCATTGCAATCAATTCTATCCAAAAGTTCCGTGGAAGAAAAGAACAAAAGCTAATGTATAGCTGGGGTCCTTCTTGAATATTGAAAGACCCAGGTTCATATCCTGAAGAATAGTAGGATCATCACCATCATCATCATCATTTATTGAAGGATTTTAAATTCTTTAAGGCAGTGGTTTTCAACTGGGGATGATTTCCCATGCCCACTCTCGGCGACATTTGGTAATGTTTGGAGACATTCTTTCTTGTCACACAGGGAGGGAGGTTGTTGCTACTGGCAACAAGTGGGTAGAGACCACCCACTAAACATCTTGCAATACACAGGACAGCCACCAACAAAGAATTATTTGGCTCAAATTGTCAATAGTGTCAAGGCTGAAAAACTCAGCTCTAAGGAAAAAAAATATTTACTTGTCTACATAGTTCATATAGGAAAATGTTAGGGATGAAAGATAGCTGGAGAGAGTGACATTTTGAGAGGCTGTACAAGAAAAAAATACTAAATCCTACAATTAGATACTCCGTTTCCATGATGAAAACCAAATTTTGGCCTACCATACACATATCCTTATGAAAAGATTATTTTTCTAATTTACATTTAAGATAAGCTTTACAAAGATATTTAAATTAAAACATACTTAGTTTTATATTTTGTTAAAAATAATAAAAGTGTACAAATCAAAATTATTAAAAACTCCAGAAGAAATGGTTGCACAGACATATCCAATGTCATTTTTTAGTGTAAATGCTACAGATATTTATTGCATAATAAGATACTATCTACTTTCTGTTCATATCACCACTCTTAAAAACAATATAAATCATGTATTCATTGTGTTAAGAAGAGAATTAACAAACATGTACCTACAGACTAACAAGCTAGGAATCTATTGCACTGAATTGTCCTTGGGAAGCACTGTCAATTTATCACTTAATATTGCAATCAAGTTTCTATGACAACAGCTGTATATTGATACTCCATTAAGACTATCATTTATTTGGTAATATGAACACACATGAAAAAAGGGTAAGATGGCATCCCGTGGCCCAAACTGGAAACAAGTCCTACCTAATGAGGTTATCTAACGTGGTTGGGGTACCTATAGCAATCAACGTAGACCAAGGAGCACCAGGGTCTGGAGCAGGGTTTACAGGTGCCAAGAGAACTTCTAGTCCATTAGGCAAACCACAGCATCCAAAGAACATGCTGATCAATTAGTATAGGCCGGTAGGGCCATTACTATGAAAGATGTGGGGGTGTATATGGTATTGGGGTGTCCTTACGAATTTGCAGGAGCATGGTTCTGGGGATTAAAAGAACAATGGGCATCCAGCACCTGGGGGCATGTTAGCAGGTAGAAAGATTGCAGCTTCTGGGAGGAAGGTAGACTGGACAGTGCAAGAGATGGCCCTGGGGAAACTCAGGTACAGTAGCCCAGAGCCAAGTATGAGGTAAGGATGTGGTTTAGAATAGGGACAGAAGATTAAACATGGGTTGGCTCCCGGGGTGACCCTGAGTGTAGACCAGAGCACTTCGCATTCCTCCTCTTTCATGCCCAGAGAGGGTCTTGGGCCTGGGTAGCCCTGGCTATGTGGGGATATTTGGCAGCTGCAAATAAATATCCTTTCTAATGTGACACTAACATATCAGCACTTCGGCAGAAAATACAGAGGTTTGTGGTCCATGGTGCACTATGGCCATGCTCAGACTTGTGTGTATGCTTTAACAGGGTGAGTGTGAAGGAGTGTGAGTGCCACCAGCCCAGGGATCCTAATACCTTGTCTCATATTGCCTCAGCCTTCTCTCCTCTTAGAATTTGCAGTTACACACAAAAACAGGTACTTTTATATCAAATTGACGTGGCATTTTACAGCTGCTGAACTGGATACTACGCAGGGTTTTATGAGGTGACAGTGCATCTGTCTCTATTTATATTCAAGAAACCAGAAACATACACTCAAAGGAAACAATCAAAACATACACACATAAACATGTGCATGTTTGCACTTGTATGCTGGCATACACACAAGTGTGCACATGCATGCGGGAAAGCAAGTGGAAATAAGGGATTGCGTTCCTCCATGACAGGAGGCTGCTTAAAGAAACTTAAGGACAAAGAGAAAATGCAGCAGCATCTACCCTCAGTGATCCTGGGTTTGTAAGGCCTGAAAAATATTCTGGAGTAAAATGACTTTAAGTTAGATGCTAGGTACTAGCTAGGCTTAGAAAAATTATTTATGCCAAGTGAAGATTATAGGCAGAGACAGATACCATCTCTTATGTGACACAGGAGTTCCAAGCAGTTAGTTCCAAGCTCTTAGTTGAAGCTAATAGCTATTTTAGGTAAAAACTTGAAAACTCTGAAAAACATCCCCACCTCACTACCCTTATGTAAGTGGTATGTAACACTGCAGAGAAACACATGACTAATATGTAAATACCATTTTTGTGGTCTTGTGGGTTATCTAAGATAATTTTTTTATATAATTAAATTCTTACATATAAGTAAATTCTTCAGAATAATTTGTTAATTTAGAAAAGTGTTAATTCAAAAAAAATTTTTCAGAAAAGAAAATGAGATGTATCAGAAATAAGATTTCTGAATATTAGAAAATTTTTCCCTAATATTTAAGATTTAGGTTAAAGACTCAAGCGTACAAACTTTAAGAAGCGTGAATATGAGCCAATTCAAAGGTGAAAGTTTATGGGTTTGGTGGTATTGCTTTTACTGTTAAAGCTTGTTTTGATGGATTGGGTCAGTGGAGCAGATCTTGCATTGTTTTAATAACCCAACCTTTGTATTAAAAAAAAAAAAAAGAAAGAGTTTAAAACATTCTTCCTTCCTTTTTTTTTTTTGTCCCTTACTCAGTTTCCTTTATTCTGAAACTATTTCTGTACCTGTTCTAGGGTTAAAATATATTTTTTAGTGTTTCCAAATGGCCAGAAGATGGCAGCGTTTCGGAATCTTCCAGATCACTCCATTCTCAGAGAGCACACACTCCATTGGCTATTCCCAAATCCAAGTCCCCACCCCACATATACCTTTCAGTTACAAAGGGTTACCCCAACTATCTAGTGAGCACAGAATTCAACGTTTATGATATTCAGACTACTTGAGCACCACACTGCCATGTTCTGGCATCACTGTCCCTAGAACTTCAAAGTGAATTTGAACCAGTTGGTCAGTCTTAGTTACCTGATAGGAGTCTACTAGAACCACTCCAACAATTCACTCCTAAGGGACAAATAACTTCTCCACGTGTCCAGCTACTCTGTGGTCCCTGCTGTGACTCAGATCTTGGAAGAAAAGAAATGAACCGATAGACTTGGTTTGAAACCTGACTGCCGTCTTTTGACTACAGACAAGTTAATTAGCCATTCAGTGTTAGAACACATAAAAAATGCCCTTTGTGGTCTCCAAGATCTCTTCTGGTCTCGCCAGCCATAAACCAGTTATCTTTCAAGCGCTCCTGCCAACATCAGTAATGCTTCAAAGACTCTTCTAACTGGTTCCAATTGGCTCTCACTGATGCAAAAGTAATAGGAGAATTTTCTATGCAGAAAAATGTTACTCGATATAAAAATTAGAGGATAGAATCAAAATTAAGCTCTTAAAGCAAAATGATGGGGAGTTTTCAATATGAAAATATTACTCTTAGGAAAGTATTTTCATTATTATAATTCTGATAAAGATAGCCATCGGGCTGCCAGGATCTTGGCTATGTGGTTGTGGAGAGAAGGGTAAGAAATTTGGGACTTCCTAAAAACAGGGCTGGAGGAATTTATCTAGCTGTAAGGTTAGTCTTCATGGAAGGAGGAGGAAGAGGAGTTTACCAGGGGCCTGCAGGTGAAGTCAGTTTCCTTCTTCACAGAAGCCTCTCACCGGATCCCTGCTTCCATTTGCAAGGGATACTGGGAAATGTAGTTTTTTAGCTGGACACATTGCTGCTCCAAAGGTATTAGAGTTCTGTTAACAAAAATAAGGGGGAGAAAGATAGTGAGTAGGCAAGCAGCAGCCTCTGCCATGCCGATCTGGGAGGAGGTCCAACTCATGAGCCTGTGGGAGATAGCTTTCGGTCCAGCGAGCATTAATGTCACTCAAAGTCAGATAGGTCATGATCCTGGGCTTCTGAGTAATGGGTCTATTCAAAGCATGATACAACCTAGGCTGCAGAACAAGAGGGATAGCTGGCAAGAACTCAGCAAATCATCAGAGTGCCTGGCAAATGGATGGGCTTGGGGGTGTCAAAGATAAACAGTGGGCATTATTTAAAACAGGAAAACATTTTATTCAGTAGCTACTGACAGTAGGGGAAAGAGCTCAGCTCAATTACAACCTGCACAGAGGTGATTTGGGCATGCTAAAGAGGGAATGAGGGACGGGGAGAGGAGGAGCCCAGTCGAGTCAGGACTGTGAAAAATTACAGAGGGTTTGTCAGTGTAAAGGTCATTTATTGAAGTTAGGATTCTACCCTCCCATAGAGACTGGGAGACAGAGTCCGTAGCCTTCCAGATGATTACATGTCAAAGGAATGGCTGTCAGGTCCTGGAGAGAGACGCTTCTGAGTTGTAAGAGGTACATATTCATAATTGTAAGCCCCTTTTAGTAAATGCCCTAAGAAAGGGAGGTCAGAGGCTTTATCATCACGTGTTGGCTGGAGCAAACAATACCTTTTCGGGGCAGTGGTGAGCTTTCGCAGAGGCATTTTTATTGGTAGTGGGGGAAGGGGTGGTATCCTAAGGGACACAACCTTGTGCAGTTAGGAGCCATGCTAGAGTTTGTTCAAGTCTCTTATTGCAGAGGTTTGGACAGAGTGGTTTTATGAGGAGAGTTTTGCAGTTCTCAGGGGCTGCAAGGATAAATTTAAATTAGGAAACCAGGGCAAAAGCACAGTCCTAGAGAGAAAGTAAGATTTAGAGGGTGACTTTCATCAGAGCAATGGGGAGCAGGATTAAGAGGGTAGACAGAGTTCAGTTCTAGATTCCAACTGCTGGAGAGGATGGGATGTCTAACCACTGCCTGACTTAGTCTGGATGAGCTCGTTAGCTGGGTGGAGCTGATCCTGCAGATTCAAACTCCAGGGACTGTGGCTAAGCAGGCCTAGGACTAATAAAAAATATTCTAAGTAGATTTTCTTTAATCAAACACATACCATCTGAACAGATGGTATTCAATGTTACTGATACTCAGAGTGAGGCAGTACTCAGCACCAAAGTTAAAGATTAAACAAGACTCAACTCTTCTAAGCACGAGCTCTCACTCTGGCTGTCCTCCTCCTCTCTTCTGTCTGCATCCGTGCATCCTACATCACCTAGCCCTCCGACTGCCTTCCAGTCTCCAGGATATAACAATCATGGCCTCCTCTTCCAGCTGAGTACTGCCTCCAGCTGCTCTGAGAACCCTAAGGCTGGGCTCTCCCTAGTCTCCTCTTTGTACATTAGCAGTAGGGCTTTTTTGCAAACATGTGAGCCCAAACAGGAAGGCAGGTTCGGCTACGGTGAGATCTTGCAGTGAATCAGAAAGGACTTCCTTCTCAGGTCTTTCTTGTCGTTCTCAGCGCACAGTCGAGGAGATGGAAGCCATGAGGAGGGTATGCCAGAGTTTCCGGGAGCATTTAGAGGAAATTGAACAGCACCTAATGGGACAGCAGGCACTCTTTTCCAGGGACATGTCAGAGGAAGAAAGGTAATTATCTAAGGGAGCCATAAAAGTAAGTACCAGCCCATACACCTGGAACAAGGAGAGGTAATCAGGGCAGGACAGATGAGCACCCCGGCGCAGGGCTAATGAGAAGTCGGCCAGCTTTTCCTGTGCTTTCATGGTCTTGTTCTTGTTTTCTCAGTGGGAGTCTCAGAGAGCCATTTGCAAGGTAGGAACACTTACTCCTTAAGGCCAGGTTATTGCCAAGGTCAGAGAAAGGGCAGTCAGCAGGAGGGCGTGGTGGCAGCAGGATGTCTTTCATCAACATGAAGTGAGTGGGCTCATGAGAGTGCAAATGCTGGGGGTGATGGGAATTTTTAAACTCTGCATCATTTTCCCATAGATTAAAAATATACCCCAAGAGTCGATTAGTCAGTCATTCGTTGCTTGTGGCAAGGGGATGGAACTAGGGTTTAATTGTAAAGGGGCTCGAGGGTTCTTACCAGGGAGATGGAAGTGTTCTGAAACTGGATGATGGTGATGGTTACACAAGTCAGTAAATGTATGAAATATCACCGAATCGTACTCTTTAAACAGGTGAACTTTATGATATGTAAATTATACCGCAGTAGAATTGTTTTTAAAAAAGAAGACAACCTGCTTTGGTAATATATCTAAGTCTGCAACTGATAGAAACAAAGAAGGTGATATTCTCTTTTAAGAAATTTCAAAAGCAGGACCTACATTATGAGAAAGACACTGGAAGACTACACCTAGGGGTGATTGTTAAATTTGGTTGTTTTCTATTATTTTCCTGCAGGAAGGAGGCTGAGCAACTGCAAACTTTACGTGAGGCCCTGAGGCTGCAGGTGGCAGAGCTGGAGTTGCTGTTAGGAGACCGGGCTCAGCAAATCAGAGAAGGGCTTCTACAGGTACTAGGGGGTGATGGAGTGTGGAGTTTGTATCCAGCCTACCATAGGTGGTAGGAGGGCTGCATTAAATGAGAAATCTGATGGTGGAGTCATTTTAGATTCTAGGCTTAAGTGCCAACACCTTCTTTTCTTTTTCTTTCTTTCTTTTTTTTTGCAGCTGGCCAGTAAGGGGATCCGAACTGTTGACCTTGGTGTTACCAGCACCACTCTCTCCTGAGTGAGCTAACTAGCCAGCCCTTCACTAAGTATAAAGAGAAACACCTTGGTTCACTCAAGGCCATGCAGCTAGCTGACGGTGATTCAGAATTAGAATTCAGTTCCCCTAACTGCCATGCCAGTCTTTCCCCCTGCCTCATAAATAATAGTACTGTTTGAACATTTTCCAAATGAGAGCAAGAATCAGAGGCCTGGTGAAGCTTATCTTTTGAGCCAATATGGGCTAAGTCACCACCAGAATCTGCTGCTGGCTCAAAGAGCTGATTCTAGAAAAATTTCCATCTCGTAAACGCCTTTCTCAAAAGTGTTAGCTTTTGGTGCAAGTAGGATGTGCTGTCCACTCTTTTTGTTTTTTTTGCTTTTGGCAGCTAGAGCATCTCACAGGGGAGCCACCTGAACACTATACAAATCTGCATCAAGGTAACTGGACAGAAGAACACAAAGGCCAGACTTCATGTGCTAAAACCCGCCCAGCCGTGGCCTCTTGGGCTGCCTTTCCTCCCATCGATGGCCAGCAGGTACCCTGTGCAGGTGGGCCCCCGTTGGCTGCCTCTGCTTCACCCACCTTGAACAGCACCAGGATATCTCCTCCATCACCAGCTGAGGCAGAGTCATGTCCAGCCCCTTCATCAAATTGTCCTGTTGGAGAAAAGGATACAAATGTCTTCTAGATCAGAGTGGGTTTGGTGACCTTTATGCAAATTGTGAGAGCCCAGACCACTTATAGCAAGAAATCTAAATTTTCCCCAAGGAGGAGATCCACCAACCCTTCATCAGCTTTTTTTTTTTTTTTTTTCCTATATTCCAACCTATGGTTAAATCCAGGAGGAACACAGAATCGTTTAACACTCATTCAGTATAGAATATTTGAGCACCTGGTGTGTGCCTGGTTCAGAGCATACAATGGTGACCAAATAGCATTCAGTCTCTGCCCTGCTATAAGTTACAGTTGGTGGGGGGTGGGAGATAGAATATAAACATATGCATTTATAATTAAAAACAGTGAAAGTGCTTTGAAGGAAATAGCAAGATTTTATGAAAGAGAACACAGAAGGGAGTCTGATTTAGCTCAGGTGTCAGGAGGCGCTAGTCAAGGGAGTGGCAACAGAAGGGGAAAAAGGATCCAGGTATCAGGCACCAGACTGTCCAAAAGCTTTGACTCGGTTGGTCAGTGGGAGTATTGATGAAGCACCTACTGTGTGCCAGGAACTGCTCAAATGCTGGAGACAGCTGTGAACAAGATAGAATTTCATTCATAAACAGTTGGATGAAAAGTAAGAGAAAAAAACAACAAATGAATAAATAAGCTGATTTCAGTACTGACAAGTGCTGTGGAGAAGATAGCGGATAGATAATACTGCAGAGGCAGCGTGGAGGGACAAGTGCACCGTGTCACTGCATTAGTCAGCGTGCATGGGAGGACTTGCTAAAGGGAAGTGTATCAGTCCATTTCTATTACTGATAACAGAATACCTGAAAATGGGTAATTTACAAAGAAATTAAATTTATTTCTTATGTTTTGAAGGCTGGGAAGTCGCAGTCCAGGGGGCACATCTGGTGAGGACCTTCTTAGTGGGAATTCTCTACAGGGTCCCCTGGTGACCAGGGTATCACACAGCAAGAATGGGCTGAGCAAGAAAGCTAACCTGCTCACTTCCTCTCCTTATAAAGCTGTCAGAACCACACTCATGACCACCCATTAAACCATCAGTGGACTAGTCCATTCATAAGGGTACGATCCTTATAATCTAATCTTAAAGGTTCCATCTTTCAATGACCGTCATAGGTTTCCCCAACCTCTTAACACTGTTAAAGTGGAGATCACTTTTGCAGTACACAACTTTTGGGGGATACATTTAACCCATAGCAGGAAGCTATTTGGGTAAGACCGGAAGGCTGGGGAAGAGGAAGTCGTGTGAAATTTGGGGGGAAGACCATTTAAAGCTGAAGAAATGGAAAGTTCACAGGCCTGGAAATATGGAGATAGCCCACATCACTGGGTTCAGTGTGTGATGGGGGTGGAGGGAGAAGAGGTCCCAGAGGTATGTCCCTTTGAGTACAGGTGGTGGCCAGGAGTCTGAAAGCCTGGATATTGTTTCCGAATGTAATGAAAAGTAGAAAGCCATTACAGGTTTTAAGCAGGGTTGTCATGTGGTCTGATTTACGTTTAAAGTTCATATTAGATGCCTTATGTAGAAGGCACAATTGGGGACCCAGAGACTGGCAGGGCTCCCAGTTAGCAGGTTGTTGCTGTGATCTCTGTGGTGAGAAGCTGCTGTACACTGGATGCCCCCCAACCTCACTGAAGCTTAAATCCCCACTGTAACTGAAGAGGGTGGGAAATCCTATTATGGTAATAGAAAGGTGGGACTTTGAAGAGGTGATTAGATTGTAGGACCATGCCATAGTGAATGGATTAAAAGTGGTGGTCATGGGCATGGTTTGAAGGGCTTTTAAAAGAGAATGAATGAGGTTAGTCTCTCTGCTCCACCATTTTTGCAATGTGATTCTCTGCTGTCCCTGTTGCCACCACCAAGACCTTCACCAGATGTGCTCCCTGGACTTTGGACTTCCCAGCCTCAGAAACTATAAGCAATAAATTTCATTTTCCTTATAAAATACCCAGTTCTGTGTATCTTGTTATAAGCAACACAAAAGGACTATCACAGAAGCCAAAGCTGTTAAGTTTCTCCACCCAGCTGAGGAGCTTGGTGCGGCTCCTACTCCAGCAAAAATGCAGGCCAGGGCGCTGGGTCTCTAAGGAATGAGGAATAGAAGAATGGAATGGTCAGAAAGACTTCCTGGAAGAGAAACACCTTCCTGGAAGAGGAAAGTATGGAATCTGTATGAGAAGAAGGGCAAGCAGAAGCTCTTCCTGGCAAGGGACCTACGAAACTGTTCCTTTTGAAAATGTCCACTACCAGAACCGACTTCACAGCCTGTTTTCCTTCGTCAGCACCTTGCTTTTTGGAATCCCTTTGACTTCAGTGGGGCCCTCCCACCCTTGGGACCATCCTGCTGTTTCCTCTATTGATGATACTTCCTCAGAGTGCGCACATCTCCTTTCTGTCCTCGGTTCTCTTCTTTTTCCTCTCCATACTGTCCCTCAATATACACTCTCACTCTACAGGCCTCTATGCCCCCAATTCCCAGCTCTCTCCAGAATCCCAATCCAGCATTCTCTACTGTCGACAAGATATTGTCACCGGAGAGACTTGCCCATGTGTCTCACTCAGTGTCTGAAGCTGGGCTGGTTATTCCCTGATACCATCCTGTCAACGGCGTGCCCTCTCTCTCACCAGGCAGACGCAGAGCCACAAGTGAACATTGTCTCCTCATGCCCCTCTACGCTGTTCTCTCACAGTCACTCACATGTCACAGATAGTTCCCAGGAGTCCCTTCCGAACCAGTTGCTGCTGACAGCACAGTGCAGAGGCTCCTAACTGCCCCTAGCTTTCTTCTCTCTGAACTGCACTGGCCTCTGCCAAACTGGTCTCCTGCAGGCACCACTGGGGTTGTATTTCCCTGACCAGGGTGAGGACCCAGGAAGTATTTTTAAGCTATCCCAGAGAATTAGAGAGAAATCACAGGATCATAATTCCTAGAGCAGTCTTCCAGCAAAAATCCCTCCATGCCCTGGACTCACACGGTCCTCTTCTTGTCTCTGCTGCTGCATTCCCCTTTGCCACAGCCCTATTTCAGCTCCTACATCATGGCTCAGCTCCAGACCCAAATTAGCTCCTGATACACTGCATTTGTACCCCTCTCCCCATTGCTTCCCTTTCTAAACTCTTTAATCTCTCTACTCTTTGGCCTCCATCTCTCCATGTAGACTTCACACTCGCCTGTGGTTTCTGCCTTGCTCCTTCCCCATGACACCTACTGAACGAAAAGGAACACCTGCCTCTGGGACCTTCCTAATATGGCAGCCATCTGTTTTACAAGTCTCAAATCCTGCTGTGCCCTCATATGAATCCTAAATCCTATTTCCCTAAACCACCTCATGCATTCCTGCTCCCTTTCCTTTGCTAATACACGTGAAGTATCTCTTCAGAGTCTCTCTCCAGTAAGACGTGGGTCAGACCCCATCCTGCACAGACTTTCTTTGATGATCTTTGATGGTCTTTTTGGAACTCCGATATCACTTTGCACCTTTATTAGGACATTTATAACCTAACTGCTTTGCGTTACCGTTATCTGTACAGGTCATATCTTCTCCACTAAACTTAGAGCTACTTGAGGGCTGCATAGCACCCTCTACCCTTGTGTTTAAGAGAGGCTACTAGAATGACAGTACAGGCTCCCCCTCTACCATGTGTGACCTTGGGCACTTGCTCTCTTTATTCTGGTTTCTTCCTCTGTAAAATAGGGTTAAGAAAAACAACACAGGGTTGTTGGACAGAAAAAATGCAGTAAATCACATGCAGTGTTTGTAATTGAGTGCCCACCACATAGTAAGTGGTTGGTGTACATTGGCTCTTATTACAAGTGCACATACCAAGAACTCAATAAACTCAAGCTGTAATTATGATCTTCCTTCTGTTGAAAAGTACTCTGTTAGCAAAGTACTTTATGCACAAGGAATATTAACAAATGCTTGATGAATGGATGATATAGGAAGAAATCAGCAGTCTCCAGAGACAGTTAAGAGAATGATCTGACTATGGCAGAAGCACTGTTTCAGGCTCTGTAGAAGCTACTGTTGGATTTTCAAAGGGGGCTTGTTTATGGATGGTTTTGACCATAAGGCAGATGACTTCACATGTGATGAAGAAGGAAAAGAAGACCCTCTGCTTGCAGATGATAGGTAACATATGGAGTCTCCAAAGATCTCCAAACATTCAATGGTATTTCCCGGTTTATTCTCCTAACTCTACAACAAAGAGCACAGAAGGGAAACCATGATGTAGAGAAGCTATCCCATCCCACTCAGAACCTTTGCTGTCTTTAGTGAGTGATGAACTGGTTGCCAAAGCTACTTACACATAAGATTTTCTTTAAAAAAAAAAAAGATTTTACTACTTTAGGAAAGTTTGAAAAGCACTGCACTGTACTAATCACATCTGACCCCCAATTCTCAGACCTTTGGAGTCAGACTGAATTATACCGTTGTCTCTCCTGGTTCATATAATAAAATTCTGCATATGTGTGTGTGAGATTTATTATGAGAGTACTTCAGAAAGCTTGTGGAAAAATAAAACTGAAAGATAATATGTCTTTCCGTGAACTTTTTGGAGTACCCTTGTACATATCCTATTGGTCTGTTTCTCTAGGGGACTCTGATTAATACAGTGAGAAAGAGCTAAGGTATGGACAGACTGACCTACAAAGGTACACACTGAGTCCTGTAGTGTATTATTAATAAGAAGCAACTGAGCTGTAGGGTTAAATCCCCAGTTTGGGGCTTAAATCCAACTTGCACTACTTATTGTCTGTGTTTCATAAACTGTTTAACCCCCCTAAGCCTCAGTGTCATCATCTGTAAATTAACAGAGTTAATGTATGTACAGCCCTTTCGAGCAAGCCTGGAACATGGTTAAGACTCAGTAAGTGGTAGTGTTGATTATTAGGATTCTGATGATGCTGAGGATAACAAGAGTAAATGCAATTTATTGAATACCTGCCTACAGGCAAGGTGCTAGGCTAAGCACTTCATGTGCATTACCACTTATTTTCACCATGATCCTGTGAGGTAGAAATTAATCTACACACACACATGTACACGATCACTCAAAAGTACTGTAAACTGTCTAATGTCTGGCAACCAGT